GGGGGGGGGGGGGGGTTCTGTCAAGAATCTGCCTTTCCCAGCATGCTGCCCTTTCCTCTGTCTCATACACACACAGGGATGTTGTCGTCTTGCTGCACAGTGCAGAGTACAAGAAATCCTCACTGGAGGTCAAACTGTCTCCTACTGCTTCTCTTTCCCGTCTTTGTGGAGGTGGTCAAACACCTGAACTTGCTTCACTAGTGACTTAATACTTTGTCATGTTGTTACTGCATGGTACTAGTATGGAACCTTGAGCAAGAAAGAGAAAAAGAAGAAAAACATTTATCCTGAAGTTAATTGAAATTGCTGAAACGGCCTGGTTCTGATCCACTGTGCCACACAAACGTGTCTCTCCTCAAAAGATGACGTTACACTGGCCGATTACACTCCTGCTTCACTGTATCAGGGAAGTCGTGCTTCAAGCAGCCGTGACCAGTCCATTCCCCTCAGTGTCAAGGCAGGGGATTTTAGGACAGGCGTTTGTCTGGCCTTTGTGTCTGTGAGGGAAGAGACGAGCTGTCAGCCTGAGAAAGATTTTGACCCTACATGTGTGTATGTATGTGTTTGTGTACCTGTTTGTGTGTCAATCCAGCCTCACAATGTATTTGTTGAGGACAGGAGAGTCTTTGTGCTCTCCTCATTAAATGACACACGCCTCGCTGGATACTCCAGGCCCTCTCCCTCGCTCCACTCTTTTTATTTTTTTTTTGCGGTTCCACTTGTTGTCGTTTAATGTTCTACTGTAGTACCCTTTTCTAAAAAAAACCTGTAAAAGGTTTAATTGAACCGCATGCAGGGAAATGTCTTTGTCTCCTTTAGATCAATAAATTGAAGAGAGTTTAATACTGTTTTCAAAGCTCCACTCCAACTTTGGTTTCTGGTATGAAGATATTTCACAACGAAACCGTGTGTCAGGCTCTGCTCGTGGCTCCCCTCTCTGCTTGCGGCTCTGCCGGCATCTGTTTTTTTGCAGGACAGTAAAGCAATGCTGGCTCTTTTGAGCCATCGAGGGAAGCTTTTCTGCCCCTCTGTTAACATTTCTAACATTTCAGTAGCTGTAACCACCTATTTGCGTCTTTATGCCGCTAGTGGTCTTGGCAGCTGTTGCGGTTTGCAATTCTGTATGTGCAGCACAGCACTGGCAAACGTATCTGTATGTCATGCGGTTAAGGAATTAAGTTTTAGGTCCTTGTATGTCAGGGTTTGTGCTGAACGTGGGCGAGACTGAATTGCCCTTTTGTTAATGTGTTTTCCTGTATAAGATGCACTTAATCTTCCTCTTCTCAGATGGGATAGATGGTTTATGAAAATGCATGATGTCATATGTATCAGGCTGTGCAGTGCCGGCCGCGCTCAAATCCCCCACAGAGTCACCCCAGCCAATCAGGTCGCGCCTTGTCGCATGCGGCCGCGTCCCTGGTCCGCAGCCTTTCCTGCGTTCGCCATGGCGTTGCCGTGGAAGCAATGCCCATCATCTTCCAGCTCCGGCCTCTACTGACAGGGGGAAGCTGCTGCCCTCAGCATGTTTATTGTGCTTATTGCCTCTGTGTATCGGTCTGTCTGCTTCGACAGCGGGCGTTGGCAGGCAACGGTCCCAGGGAGGACGATGGCATGCAGGACAAGCTCCTCTCCAAAGAGGACGACCACTACGGTAGCCTGGACACAGCTCAACACCCCGGCGAGGACAGGTGTGCTCCCGGCTCGTCGCACCACACCCCCCATTGGTTATGGGGGGGGTTTGCGAAAGCTGTCCTAGTTCGCATGAAAGTTTGTGCAGTTCCCATGAATCCCCACTGCTTTGCCTCCAGTCCGACTCCGACCACCACCCCCACGGATGCCCTTCTGGAGCCCGGTACACCAAGCGAGCTGCCCTCCCCCAGCGCCGTCTCCCCCAGCGCCGTCTCCTCCATGTCCTGGGAGGCGACAGACCCGCTGCCTTTTCCTGAGGTCCGTTTGGGCTCCTGCCTCTTCTGTCTTGGCCAAAGCCTGCTGTAGGCCTAGAATGCAGGCCTCCATCAGAGTGTGTAGGTGGTGTGGCAGAGAAGATGGGACTCTTCTTAATCAGGATGTGCTTGGGCTTGTTGCCATGTCCCTGTCAGTACATGCTGTGTGTGTGTGTGTGTGTGTGTGTGTGCGTGTGTGTGTGCGTGTGTGTGTGTGACAGGGTGGGGCCTAGTGGCATTCTTAGAATATCTATATCTGTACCTCTGTGCTAACTTGCACGTGTGTGTGTGTGTGTTTCTGCAGACGCCGACGTCCCTGCTGGACTCCAGCGCCTTGCGCTCGCGGGTGCAGTTGGGTAAGAGGCGGAGTCAGCGTGCCCCTCCCTCAAGAGCCGCCCGTCAGAAAGCCGCACAGGATGCCAAAGACCCGCAGTTCCAGGACTCTGCAGGCAAGCCAATCAGGACGCAGATACCTCCTCTTGTCCCGCCCATTTCCAAGAATTATTTGTTGACCTTTTCTGGTCTAAATAATGGCATACAGATGAATGTGCAAACAGTCTGATGTTTAAATTTATTCACTCTGTTTATACGCTTTTTTTTTTTTTTACTTGTATGTTGTATGAAAATATTTATATTATAAGATTTTAACATTTCTAATTGTTGGTGTCGTCTGCCTTAGGGACGAGGTCTGAAATGACAGCACAGGAAGATGTGGAGGATGAGGAGGAGGAGGAGGAGGAGGAGGAAGAGAAGGTGAAGATGAAGACAGAGCCATGTTCGACCCCCTTGCAGCCACAGAGAGTGGCAGTCTTTCCTGGCTTGGACCCATCTGCTCTCAAGGTGTGACCCTATAGCTATAGCCTGAGCCGTATCGTGACAAAATGGTGTAAAGACCTTTTATAATACAGTCCTAGTTTGCGATGTGTGTGCGTACATTTGTGATCGTTTGGCGTTTTACCTGTAAGGCCCCGCATCCCGAATGGTGCTTCTGTCGTCTTGTTTCGCAAAGGCTCAGCTGAAGAAGCGAGCGGGTGACTCAGAAAACCAGGCCGAGCAGCTCCCCCCCCAGCGATCAGCCAAATCTCCGTTTCTCCCTCAGGCCACCCGAGTGCTCCCCCCAGTCACTGACAAGGAAAACCGGTACGAAGCACCAGGAATCATGTCGCTTATTTGATTGCAAAACATCAGAGAATTTATCCAGTTGTCAGTGTAGCCCAGTGTGTTTATTTCAAGGTCAGGGGAATGAAATGTGTTGGTAGATGCAATAATTACATTTTTTGTTCAGTGTGTAAAAGATAAACGCAATAATAGCGATTATGATGGAAAAGAATCTGCAGTTATTAAATAAATAGGAGCTAAATATAGAGGGGTATAAATTCTGCCTGACTGATGCAATTCAAGTAATACAGTCTTCCGGTGTCCCATCCTCAGGGAGCACTCCTCCCCTCAGTGGCTCCAGGAGCTGAAGTCCAAGAAACGCTTCAGTCAGCACGAGAGTGACACCTAGTGGCAGACGGCATGGTTGGTTTTCCCCATCACCATCGATTACCTTCTATTCTATTAGTCTGTTACGTAGGGACCTTTGTAGATTGTGTTACGCAGTTGGTATAAGCACTTGTGGACCTTTATCTACTGCCTGGGAAATATCCCCCTCCCCTGTTTTCAGCGCTCCCCAATTGAAATAATGCAGCTGTAATTCGAACAAACCTTTTCAAAATGTTGGCCACCAAAATAATTTATGGCTGTTGTCTTTTTTAAGGTGCATTTTTAAACAATTCTGACGTCAGACGAGTGGGTATGTGTGGGTCATATTTCAGGAACGTCTCAGCTTGTTTTCTGTTTTATTCCACAGGGTGGCTTCGACCTGGATCCTTCAGCTGGCCACGCAGCGTGATTGTCTTCTCATAAAAGCCTTAGATCTTGGTCACCATCTTAGTCCCACTATTGCTGCTCACCAGTTTTTTTGATTTTTTTTTTTCACCTTCTGTAATCTTGATTCATAAAGTTGTCTTTCTAGAATTCTTTTTTTGTGGATAAACAGAATTGGGGGGTGGGTTGGGAATTGCGCAACAGAGAACACTCCCTGCGACCTCCTGTCAGGCAGATGTGGGGGCTTCCCTGGCAGCAAGGGACGCCCGTGGACCACAGCCCCCCACGACTCACCTGCACAATCAAGAACAATGAGAGTTATTTTTTTATTTCTGAGGTCTTAATTCAATTTTTAGGTTGAACAATCAAATCTTTGATCCTTTTCTGTGTCCACATGGTTCAGAGAACTGATTTTCACTGGCTAGGTGCCCAGACACAGGTTCTATGCAGTCAGATTGTTATGAATTAGCAAGGTTATCAGTTTTACGCACTGGGGATTTGTGTGTCAAATAAAATTAAACTTTGCCAAGTTATAATTATTAGGGTGATAAAATAAGAGGTAGTGAAAACCCTTTCTGTTCTGCCAAACACTGTCCAATTCTGCCTTGTTCTTCAAACTATCCTACCTTGTTTACATAACCCCCGTAGGACTGGACAGAGGTGCTTACCTCTCTGTGCCTTTTCCGCAAAGTGCCCTCAGGGTTTTGTAGAGAGAGAGAGTGCTGCATAGACGGAAAATGTCTGCCGTCATTTTTCCATTCACTGTTTCCCCAGAGGTGCTGGTGGAAGCTATATGCTGGTGGAAGCTATATGCTACGTAACATGAAATGCTGTTTCCTGCCATCGCCACCCTCCCAGGGTCGTCCTGTAACTTAGTGATAGCAGCAGATTATAAACACTGACAGCGAGTGAAAATGTAGGCAAACACCGTTGCTTTGGTAGCCGTGGACATAAGCGGTAGCCGCAGGTTCTATGCCTGCTAGCCTGCTTGCTTCCTGTCCCGTAACAGGAAGTCGGACTCTCCAACAGGAAGTGGAGGTGGTGCAGTGCCATGTTGTTTTTTAGGGTGTGGCCCTCTGTGACCCCCAAAGGCTCGTTCCACTGAGCAGAAGCTGGAAAGTGATGTAATGTGCGGAAGAGCCATTGGGAGCGAAGAATTTTAATGCATTGTCAAAAGGGTGCCAGTTCAAGTCCACTGCCGGGCCGCTGTTGTACCGTGAAGTCCAGGCACCAATCAGCAGTGGATCTGTTAAGTGTCAGAAAGATGTAAAATCTATAGGTCTCTTTTGAATCCGAGCATCTGCTAAGCACCAAGGTGATGATGATGATGATGATGAAGAATTTGGTGTGTACTGCTGTAATCCAAATTTATCTCCATGAGCCGAATCCCTGGTTAGCAGTCTTTTTGTATTGGTTCTATAGCTGCTTGCCTCCTACAGTGTCGCTCAAAGGTTTTATTCTGCAAACATGCAACGGGTTTAAACAGGGTTAAGGCAGACACTGTGTTAAGGGTCATCATCTGAGTTAAACTGCTGGCTGTCTGTCAGGCCTCTTTGAGACCACAGTCCCATTAAATTTTGTGTCAGCCTTGTTTTCTACACTGGATGGCAAATTTTGCCATTGAAAAGTTTGTGCATTTTTTTTGTACGTTTCTGAAAGGGAAGGATGTAAATTACGGCAGATTTGTCAAACCATTGTCAAAATGTGCACACTCAATAAAATTTCCTGTACAATGACCGTGCGACTTTTGGCACATCTGTGTGAACGTGTATGCTCTGTTGAATGAAGGGTCATTCACACCTCACCACTCCCCATTATTAGATAGTTCCCACTCTGTATCAGCTTGGATCAGACCGGGGGGTGTTTTTTCAGGATAGCTGGGTTCGGTTTTAATAACCACATGGTGTGCTTCCCAACACGGCTGAAAGTGTGTATCCTGACAACAGAGCAGTGGAAACACACACTGAACGATACAAACATACAATAATGTCAGATTAAGCTACATAAGGAAACACAGAATCTGAAATGGAAAATTAGAAAATCCTTCTATAAATAAGGTTTATTAAATACCGATTTGTGAGAGTGAGTATGCAATCGATTGATATCTGATCGTTTTTTTTCTTGGAGAGCAGAGTTGTTGCCGAGTAACTTCTATGTAGTCATGCATTTCTGTATTATTTAACCTTTATGCTGGCAGAGGACATGTTCACTCTACTTCCTTACTGGCTTTTCTAGGTCAGCCAGTGATCTGCAGCAGGGGTCAGGGGTCAGACTGAGTCAGCCACTAGGTCTACACATCATAGGTCATACCGCTCAGGTAGCTTGCTGCAGGTGCGGTGACCCGGGGGCTCTGAGTGGTCTGCAATGTGTGTGTGTGTGTGTGTGTGAGACAGGGGGCTGGGAGGTGGGGGGTGGGGGGTGTGCTGCCCACAGGAGTCCATACAGTTCCTGCTGAGTCGGGGTTATTTTTTGCGTCCGGCTGGCTCCCATCACTGGCAGTGCCCACTCTCAGCGGCTGTCAGCTGGGCTGACAGGAAGCCCAGGGATGCGGGCAGCCCATGCCAGCCACAGAGGACCAGCGTGACAGACACAATGCCAGCCACAGACCTGCTGCGTCAACGGCTCTGGGGATTCTGCTGCTCTGGTCAGAAATATCCCATAAATACCCCCTGTCCCCCCCAGCTCTCCAAAGCCCCCACGACACACTGCCAGAGGAGAAGGAGGACAAGGTTCCACACAGCAGAAAACCAGGTAAAAAGCCCCTCTTCAGTCCCCCACCCCCCTCCCTTGTGTCCTTCAGGGACCCGCTTGACCTTTCTAAAGGTCGTTCCTGCGTCCAGGAGAGCAGGGGGCTTCCGAGCCGCTTCACCGGCCTCACGATTGTAGCATCAGAGGAGAAAAATAATGATTAAAGACAGAATCAGTACCTCACAACTAATTCTGTGAAAGGGCAGATAAATGAATTAGGTCACAGAAGGGAAGATATTATTTCCATGGGACATACAAGCTGAGCTGAATCCCTGAACAGCTGATGAAATAAATGTAATATATTTTCTTGAATGAGTAGCACTGCTGTCAGACACTGTTGTGTCTTCTCCACCTGCCTTGTGTCTTCTCCACCTGCCTTGTGTCTTCTCCACCTGCCTTGTGTCTTCTCCACCTGCCTTGTGCTTGCTGGAACAGAGTGCAGGCTCACTACAGTCCTCTGCTGAGTATTTGAGAGACGAATGGATATGGTTTATTAAACCGGGAAGAACATTTAAAAAGTCTTGATTAACTCGTTGCAAAGGATTTGTGAGGCCATTCTAGCTGTATGATAGAAACTATGCAGGGGACTCAGAGGAATCCATCTTTGTTTTGGAGCTCAGGAAGTGACCCGTGCTCCACCCTTATCCCACGCAGGGAGCATGTTGGAGCAGCAGATTGACCCGGACCAGCTTGCCGCTGGAAAGAGCCAAGGCGGTGCGAGCGTTACTTACAAGGTAACCCTGCTGTGGCTCACGTTGTAGAACTTTCCATCGAATTGTTTGTCAGGTGTTTAGCTTTTGCCAGGTAACACTGGGGCAAACCCTGTCTTTCTCCCTGAAGGCCACATAGTTTCCCTGTCCACCCTAAACACTATGGGTCGTGGGAGATGACAGTGAGCAGCACGTGCTGTCAGCGTTCGGCTCCTTCCTCCTGCTTCGTCGTGATGGTTGGTTAATGAAGGACTGCCTGACCTCTGACCTCTGTCCACCTACATGAATATGGTGGATCCTCTCTTTGCTTCAGGGACTTATTCCCTCACTCTCTGAGATACTACCAGAGTGTAATTAAATAACCGACCATCTACAAAATGCAGGTTGACAGGAAAACGACGACACACGGTGCCTAGCTGGTACCACTCACGTTAGGTGGTGTCTTCAGTTGTTCCTTCCCTTCCTCCCTCCCTCTTATGTCCAGGTGGTCCTCTTTGAGCTTGAGAACTTCCAAGGCCGCAAGGTAGAGCTATCGGCCGAGTGCAAGGATGTGAGAGTGAAGACCCTCGAGAAGGTGGCTTCCATCGTGGTGGATTCCGGCCCGTGAGTACCTGACCATACTTCTAACCTCTTCCTATTTTCCTTCTTCTCCCCCCTCAGTCTATCTTCAGATCTGAATCAGTCGGTTGAAACATTAAATGAACATTGTTGTAAATCTGTCCTGATTCTGGTAGCCAACTAATGCATGTGAATAGCAGATTAAACCAGGTAGTACATCAGTATGTTAATGAATTGTTCAGCATAAACTAATGAAATGATGCACAGACGAATGCCTACACAATAACGGCGCAGATGATGCATAAACTGTGTCAATTTATTAAACAAATGACAGAAGGAAACCAAGACCAGTATCTATAGCTGGATCAACAGATCACTCAGCATTTTCTAACAGTTGGGTGAAGCACTAACGAGGTAACCCTAACCTTTAACCCCTCCCAGCTGGGTAGGGTTTGAGTGCCAGGGATTTAGTGGAGAGCAGTTCATCCTTGAGAAAGGAGATTACCCTCGCTGGACCACCTGGACCAACAGCCAGAGAAGCTGCTTCTTAATGTCCCTGAGGCCGGTCAAATTGGTGAGTACTGTGACCTCCGAATGGGTCAAAGCTGTGAGGACTGTGGCCTTCGAATGCGGCACAGTGACCAAAGTTCTGTGAGTTCTTGTGGGTCAAAGCTGTGAGCTTATGGTTAAGGTTAGGGCTGGGTAGGGGTTAAGGTTGTCATGTTGGGATTAGTTTTCCTCATAGAAATGAATGGAGAGTCCCCACAAAGATATAATTACAAACATGTACAACGTGTGTGTGTGTGTGTGTGTGTGTGTGTGTGGCCTACTGTAAGATGGGCCAGACCACAAGCTGCTTCTGTTCGAGGGTGCTGGTTTCAGTGGCAGGAAGATGGAGATCATGGACGAAGACGTGCCCAGCCTCTGGGGTTATGGTTTCCATGACCGCGTGGCCAGCATCAAGGCACTTAACGGAACGTAAGCACAGCTTTGCTCCTGGTGCATTATGGGGATATTTTCTCCAAGATCCACTTTTGGACCTTGCTACCAATTTGCCTGCAAAAACACAATAACATACCAGGGAGAATATGGGAAACTCGTACTTAGGGGATTATCAGTCATTCAAAACCTTTGAACTTACCTTTATTTGAATTTTTATTTCACTAAATTGACCACTTAGTGACCTCTTTCCATCCCTCCCCCAGTTGGGTGGCCTACGTGTACCCAGGCTACCGGGGCCACCAGTTTGTGCTGGAGAAGGGTGACTACAAACACTGGAATGAATGGCAGGGGTCACGGCCACAGATCCAGTCCGTCAGGCGGGTTCGTGACATGCAGTGGCACAAACGAGGACGCTTCACCGTCCCCGCCCCTGCTCCTGCCCCCACCCCCACCCCACCTGCTTCCTCCACCACCGGCTCCAGCTGAAGGAAACGCCAAAGCCCCCTTGATCCCCCCATGGGGACACTCTCTGGGGCCCCCTCAAGGGGAGTCAAGAAACGGCGCACTCACAAGTGACCAGTGCCCTGTATATCTTAGCTGCTAATAAAGATTTCAGCTCTGAAATGCCCCCCCCCTTGACTCAGCTACCTTGGTTTTGTCACATGGGTGTTGTGGCTGGGCTGCACCCCCCACCCCAGGTCTCCTACAGGCTCTCTAGAACATCCCATTGTTGTACTGGTTTTACTGGGTGTGTTATTGAATGGTAGAGAAAAGACAACAAGGAATTTTCTTCTGTTCATCTTAAGTCATGCATGCAAAACACAGTCACTCTCACACACACACACACACACACACACACAAACTCTTTTTCATTTCAGCCCAGTACTGGATGATGGACAGGTGAATTTATATGTTTATCATTCACACGTATTAGGTGGACACCCCCAACACCATAACCTGCACAGTGCATATACTGTAAACACGGGGAAGGGGATGTAAAAATAAAAACAGGAAAGATGTCTGCACTGTCAGCAGTTATATTAGAAATTTTAAGTACTGTTGCTTTCAGGGTATGTTACTCTGCTGATAAGGCACTTATTTTTACGCAGTTGTCAGGGCTGTTTCCTGTTTTTGGTTTTGGGACCATTTTGCAGTTACGATGGCGGTATCTGGGTTGCCGAGAGCCATGCAGAGCTTGTCAGAGAGCCGTCAGAGCCTGGAAGCGTTCGCCGAAGGGAAGGAGACCCGAGCAAACCTGATCTGGAGAGATCCTGCCTCCGTGCACCACGGACACCAGCCGCCGGCAAATGATGTCAGGGCAAAAAAATCGTAGGACTTGTTTTGCACTGAGTTTTTCATTCTTTGCAATGTCATGTGTCATCACCTGATAATGTATTTGGGGTGGAGCGGCGACAGCAAACCTCCAGGGCTGGGGTTTCGAATTTCACATCGTCTGTGTGTGTCTGTGTCTGTGTGTCTGTGTGTGTGCGTGTGTGTCTGTGTGTGTGTGTCTGTGCGTGTGCGTGTGTGTCTGTGTCTGTCTGTCTGTGCGTGTGCGTGTGTCAGCTTGGGACTGAGAGGCTGTAGGCCAGGAGTCAAAGCTTGTTTGCATTGTGTTATAATGTGATGGGTGGTTCTCACAGAGACACACATCAAAGGAAGAGCACAACGACAGACTGGGTTACGGCAAAAGGGGTCCAGCACTTAGGGTTCTGTGGCGTAAGAAAACAGTGACACGTCTTTACTTTAGACTTAGCGAGTCCAGTCTGCTGATGGAGCTTCCCAACCTGAATCTGAACTCCCAGATGATTTGGCAGAGATGTTATCCAGAGAAGGGTAATTAAAGAACTAGATTTCCCGCTAAATAGGTACCAGATTCTATAACAGGGATGTTTGGACGTTCCAGGGGAGGGGCAAGGTTGGGGTATAAGCCCTCTACTCACCTGTAATTAAGATTATTGTTTAAAGCAGTTTGACTGCATGTATGTTGGGGGAGAAAGTAATGACCTGATCCTCATGACTCTATGAATCAGCTTGTTTAGGTCATAGAGCCGGATGATTGGATGATTTGCCTGCCCATTTTGCCTCATGTCCCAATAAAATCTCCTCATTCTGTCCTCCGGCCCCTATGTTCCGTGGATCTGTTCAGCATCACAAAAAGACATCGGAACTGTAATTAAAAAATCACAAAACACAAATAATCAACTGTGTGAAATGGAACAGGACACCGTGTCCATCAAGTGTAACGATGGTCTGCACCATTAAAGACTGCTAGGAGCTACATCTATAATGACTGTAACTGTAGAACTTTCACTTTAATTACAATTAATTAAAAGCAGTTCCCAAAATCTCCAACTGTGGATATCCGGAGGAAGCCCCACAACGACACGGAGAAGATGTGAACTCCACACAGGGAGCCATGATGGAGGCTCGAACCCAGGTCCCAGAAGCATGAGGTGGGAGGCATCATGCTATTTTATATTTCAGACATGAAATATAAAAATGAATTTCCAATTATATTCAAAGGTACAATGACATTCCAGCAGCTGGTTTACATAATGGATGATACATCTCAGCATGGTGCTTATTTGAAGTGTCATCCAGGTCTGTGTAAATGCAGCCGTTTCTCTCCTCAACATGTCTTCTGACTGGGAAAATTGTTTGTGGGGTGATTAGCTGTGTAGGCTTGCTGGGGCAAACTTGTTTTTATCTCAAGAATGAGCTACTTCTTTCTCAAATTTATGATCTGGGGCAAATGTAAAATCCCGACATTTCTTTATATGACACTCAAAATAGATACACGATGCACAGCAACTTCATGTGTCATTACACACTATATGGACAAAAGTACTGGGACACCTGTACTGTGAAGTGGGGTTACTGGCTTATCAGGGTAATTTGTCGGATTTAAGGTACCACAGTTTAAATGGACTTCATATTCGTTCACTTACATTTTGCCCAGACTACCTTAAATCTGACAAGTTACTCCGATAAGCCAGTAACCCCGCTTCGTAGTACAGGCCACTGGTCTTTACACCTACAGGAACTTTCATGACATCCCATTCTAAATCCAAAGGCATCAGTATGGAGTTCCTCCCCCTTTGCAGCTGTAACAGCCTGACAGGGATTTACATAAAATTTTGTAGTGTGTCTGTGGGAATTTTTGCCCATTCTCCCAGAAGAGCATTTGTGAGATCAGGCACTGATGTTGGATGTGAAGTCCTGGCTCACAATCTCCGTTCTAGTTCATCCCAAAGGTGTTCAATGGGGTTGAGGTCAGTCAAGTGAAGTTCTTTCACACCAGACTCACTCAAACATGTCTTTATGGACCTTGCTTTGTGCACTGGGGCACAGTCATGCTGGAACAGAAAAGGGCCTTCCCCAAACTGTTCCCACAAAGTTTGAAGCATAGAATTGTGCAAAATATCTTGGTATGCTGACGCATTAAGAGTTCCCTTCACTGGGACTAAGGGGCCTCGCCCAACTCTGGAAAAACAGCCCCATACCATTATTCCTGCTCTACCAAACTTCACAGTTGGCACAATGCGGTCAGGCAGGTAACGTTCTCCTGGCATCCGCCAAACCCAGACTCACCCATCAGGCTGCCAGACAGAAGCGTGATTCATCACTCCACAGAGCACGTTTCCACTCCTCCGGAGCCCAGTGGTGGCGTGTTTTACACCACGCCTGGCATCGTGTTTAGTGACGTGAGGCTTGCATGCAGCTGCTCAGCCATGGAAGCCCATTCCATGAACCTCCCAAGTGTACAGTTTTTGTGTTGGGGTTAATGCCAGAGGAGGTTCGGAACCCTGCAGTTATTGAGTCAACAGAGCATTAGCAACCTCTACGCACTATTCGCCTCAGCACACTTCATGGCTGAGTTTCTGTGGTTCCCAAACGCTTCCACTTTGCAATAATACTACTTACAGTTGACCTTGGAATATCTAGCAGGGAAGGAATTTCACAAACTGACTTATTGCAATCCTATGATAGTACCACACTTGAATTCACTGCGCTCTTCAGAATGACCCCATTCTTTCACAAATATTTGTAAAGCTCACTGCATGACTAGATGCTTGATTTTATACTGTGGCAATGGGTCTGAATGAAAGACCTGAGAGGTGTCCTAATATTTTTGTCCATATAGCGCATGAAGTTCATTTACTGTTGTACATAAGCCCTACATTCATGTACAAACCATATTAAATGTGTGACATTATTCATACATGTCCTCATTCATATAATGCATATCAATGTTTTATCAAACATAAGTTCTACATTGATGTTAAATTAATTGTCAGGACAGAAACACTCGCAGACACAGAACAGTCACTTTTCCTCAGACACGGGGTATTTATTCAAGCCCTGGCAAACAAGGGGTGCAAAACGGGCAAACTTAGGTTGGGCTGCGGGCGAGGCAGCTCCTGCTTCAAACAGGGCATGGCAGAGGAGGGCAGTGGGGACCAGGGGCCTTCGGAGGCTGGCAGGCTGGGGCAGGAACCGGGAACTGGAGGGAAGGACAAGGGGACGTGGGCAAAGCGGACTGGCACAGCTCGCTGGAACAGGCAGAGGTGCGAGGTAGGGCTCGCTCGACTGGGCTGAGCTAAGGCTGCGGGGGGAGGAGGAGGAGGAGGAGGAGAAAGAAAGAGAGAGAGAGAGAGAGAAGAACCATTGGCTCAGTTGTGATCACATGACACTCGGCAGACAAAGCGTATACGTAATACTCGTATTGCAAGACCTCACTCGTAGATCAAGTTAAAATTTATTACAAATTTTTGCTTGTCTTGCAAAACACTCGCAAACCAAGTTACTCGCAATCCAAGGTTTGACTGCATAAGTCTTACATGCCTGTACATGCACAATGCATTTTAAATGGATGCTTTGCCAGAATTAGTTTTTATGCATAATTCTTTGAACGAAATCAGCTGAATCATGGACAGTGGTTCCACACAACTAGAATAAGTATTTTGAAAAGGAAACATTCTTTTTCAGTAGATGCATTCACTTTGTGTTCTGAGAAAAAAACATAGTTAAGTTAATCTCACTGATTTTTCTCCTGTCTAATTAAACTAACTGAATGTGGTGAGATCATTCACATCTTTCATAAGAATAATATAAAAGCAATATAAAATTTCATTAAGAAACAAGCAATAAACATGTATTTCCTTCTAGAGCCATATGTTATCACATTAAAATGTAAAGTTTATATAAAAGTTTTATATTTTCCTGTTGGCTTTTCCCTTTACCTGCCAAGTGTATTTTTGGTATGAATGTTGCCATAATCACACAGGACAAACACTGACTTGCAACGAACAAATGAAAAACCATCATGTGTAGAATCAGGAAAGAAGTTTCACCAGACTCTTTTTTTATTATAAATAAATCAGTTTTGGGGGGCAAAAGGTGTTGTGATGCAGCAGGAGCTTCACCATGTGGGTCAGCTGACCTGTTTACTGTTACATCACAGGTCCACTATCAGTGACAAGCGGTGAGAACATGAATGGTTGCTGTAATGAGAAGACGCGGACCCCAGACTTCACCTAACAAAACTCTCAGCGAGATTTTCTTGTGCCTCTTTGATCTGTGTACAGATTCCCACCTCAGGCTTCCTTTGTGAGTTAAATTCATGAATGGTAATGCTCGGTAAACAATAAAGATCCAAGTCATGAATATTGAAATACATTGGTATCTCGGTTCTTGAACTCACTAGAACTCGAATTTCTTGAAAGTCGAACAAACCAGTTTGACCTTGAACTCGATCTGATCAGAAGTCGAACCGTGAAGGCCGACCTAATGTAAATTGTACGCGCCAGGAAATGAGTCATACTACAATGCAATTCTTACTTGAGTGCCTTCTTCACAGACTGGACGATTAACCAAATAAAGCAGCGCTACATTACAGTAACTAACAATAAATAAACCTTACGTGTACTATTAGAGCATTTATGTAATTTATTTAAACTTTATTTTACCAGGTAAATTAACTGAAAACCAGTTCTCACTGCTTCACGTGATATTCGGGAGAAACAGCAGATTACGCATCGGATGATCGGAACTGCCTGGGATACAAAAGTGATGCGTGTAACTAAACTCTTCAGCCAATAAGGGCAAAGGTGTGTCGTCACGGAGGCGGTTCCAGTCTGTGCAGCCGAGTGAGAGGTCGCAATGCATCTAACCGTAATGCATTGCGTCAGGATCATAATGCGTTGCTTTAAGCCAGCGCTGTAAGCAAGTCGAACGCACCCAATGACCGGACTGGGGAAACAAACTGAAACGCGGACTTAATACAGAGGACTAATGACAACAACCAGAAACAGCTGATCACATGGGGATCCCACACGAGGTTAAGGAGGGGGCGTGGCACACGGAAGGAGCGGACGATCGGGGCAGGATAGGGGTAATGTCGGGATAAGATCTTTATCGTTTTGGAAGCCATTAAGAATAAAAATGCTCTTCTTGTTTTATCCTGTTCAGTTTGTGTTTAAATGCTAAAAAAAAAAAAACATATTTAGGTGTAATTTTGGGGGGCCGGGAACCAATTAATTGTTTTTCCATTATTTCTTATGGGAAAAATTCGATCAGAACTCGAACTTTTTAGGATTCGATCCGGAGTCCGGAATGGATTAAGTTCGAGAACCGAGGTACCACTGTATCTGCCTTCGTCAAAAATTGAAGGTCGACCTTCAAAAATGCTTATTTCACATACTAACTATTTGTTGTTGTGTTGCTGAAGCAGCTTTCAGAGATACCGAAGCAGAGGGATGCCCACCTGTCTGCGGTTTATACGCCGAGCCTGTGCTCTGTGAAGTGTTGTGTCTGTGTGTGTAAATGTGTGAAAGAATGAGCTAATAATCAGCATAATCTGAGTTGCCCCCCTCCCTGCCTGACTGCTGGATATTTGACCATCAAAGCTTTCCATCTCCTAAGACGTATGCTGAGTCTGACAGTGATTAATGCCAAAGCCACACTCCATTACCCCGTCAGCTGTATCCTCTCTCCCCTCTCCGGTTTGGGTGGATGCCCCCCCCCCATTACCCCCACCTCTCTGCCATAGGTACATGTGCCACACATTGTCACTGCAGGCCTCTTGGCACAAACTCTGCTGAATCATGTTCATGTCCAACAAAGACCAGAGGCTCAGAATTGACAACGAATGAAATAACTTGGCGGGTGGGGTGGGGGGGTGTTAAAGCTAGATTGGCTGGATACTGATGCCCGTCTAGCCAGCCTATTGAGGGCGTATCTGGATAGTGGTTTGGACCCCCCAACCCCGTGAATCGCTGCCAGGACATACGCCTCCAGACTGGCCATATATACTGAGGCTCAGCGCAGCCAAGCTGAGCACTGGGCACACAGATACTGGTAAGGGAACAGCCTCTCTCTCACTCTCTCATCACTCTCTCATCACTCTGTCACTTACTCACTCATCCCTCTTACTCCCTCTCATCACTCTGTCACTCTCCCTCTCTCACTTATTCACTCATCCCTCTTACTCCCTCTCATCCCTCTCTCCTTCTTTCTTTCACTCCCGTAATCTCTCTCATCCCTTTCTTCCAGTCTGACTTATTTTCCCTTTTCCTCTTTTACTTAACTTTTAAACTCTAATTTTCTAACAGTTCTGTGCAATAGCTAGTGAGTATAAATGTGGCATATTTTGCAAAAATTGAGGGGGTAAATAATACTTCGTAGTAACTCAGTTACTACTGAAGTACAAATCAGGAACAAATATAGATGCTACTTGAGATAAAAGATGCATCATGATTCATTAATGATGAACAAACATGAGATCAGTATTTCACATGTGTTGTTCATAACTTGCTCCTTCAATAGTTCACAAAGGTTTGCAGACTGAACAGAAATAGTAATATAGTAGCTGCTTGTAATAAAAGGTGCATCATGATTTGTTAATGATGAACAAACATGAGATCAGTATGTAAGTAAGACTTGATTAGTGGATAATTAATACATAAGTAATAGCATAATATTACATAATATGTGCCCCCTCAAGTAAAATGTTACCAGGATGGGTAGCACAAATAACCCTAAATTACTTCATATGCCCCTTGGGGTGTTTTGTTATTGCCTTATTATGTCCTTGGATTATATTGAATTAAGAATTGATTGAACTGAGAAGCGAATGACTTTTATGTTCAAATGAGGAGCACAGGTGTCATGTGTTTGTCATATTTAATTTAGATATACACAGAGTATTTTGTCACGTATAACAGCAGTGCTTTATTCTTTAAAGTAAGAGTCCATAAGTTAATTAAAATCCTCTCTCACTATCTTTCTCTTCACAATCAGACCATTTTCACCCCCCCCCCCCCCCCCCCCAAAAAAAAATGGCTACTGACCACCAGATCGCAGCATCTGCACAGAAGCAAGCAGCCACCAGCCCATTCAAGGTTAGCCTGCCTCCTTCATTGGCCGTCAGGTTACCCCCCCCCCCCCCCCACCCAATGTAGCCATGCCATGGGACTGCTGTCACATGGTTGGGTCTGGTTGGGCGGAGCCACACGGCACCTCCCCTCAAAGGCCAAGTGGTACTTTTCTTCTCTTCTGGAGACCTGCCAGCACTGAGCCGAATTCTGCAGAACCTTTCACATTTGGTCAATCCAACAACCATCAGCAGATGGTGCCAAAGTTGTATTACCCAGTAAATGCAACGTATTTTACCAGCAGTTAAAGCTTGTAATTGTAAGTAACCTTTACTAGATGTGCATGGTTACTTCCCGAATGGTGTGAAATCTGCCTCCTCCTCTCCCACCTCTGTGGTCCTCAGCTGATCATCTATGATCAGGAGAACTTCCAGGGCCGCTGTCACGAGCTGACTGGACCTTGCAAGGACCTGCAGGAAGCCGGTGTGCAGAGGGTGGGGTCCATCATGGTGCAAACAGGACCGTGAGTGGGGGATTGGGTGCCAGGGGGCAGGGAAATGATTAAACAGAGATATTCTTCAACTCTGAGAGATTAAAGACAACGTTTAAACATTTACAGAACGATCAACAAAATTATTCACTGCTTAAAGGATAGAAGCGTATCTCCTGGAATGCTGAAAACCAAGATCGAGGCCATGAAAAAACTCATTTTTGTTCAGACCGCATCTTTTGTTACTTACTTTGTGACTCAGCTGAGAAACACTGATTATGATTTTAGTGTGAGTCTTTTTTAATTTGATAGCTCAGAAGTCATGCTTTTGGTGCTGTTTGGCCCCAAACAAATACAGACGTTGCTGCTAGTGGAATATTAACCATGCCATGCTCTCATTGACTCTGCCTCTCCCTCCCCCCCCCAGATGGGTGGGGTACGAGCACGCCAACTGTAAGGGTGAGCAGTTTGTGTTTGAGAAAGGGGAGTATCCTCGCTGGGACTCTTGGACAAGCAGCCGATGCAGTGACTGTCTGGCCTCCTTCCGGCCCCTTAAAGTGGTACGGTCCACCATGTGACCTCGCCCATGTGTCTGCTGGCCAATCGGTGCCAGCTCTTGCCCACATGTCCGCCTGTCTGAAGGTGCTCTCGGTTTCACTGACCCCCTGCCCCTACAGCTGTTATTTAGTTGCCTGTCAGTCTATCTGCATATTTGTCCGTCTTCCTCCCTTCTCAGCCCCTCATCTGTCAACCTCACTATCACTCCATCCCCCAGTTCACCCATCTGGGCATCTCGCTGCCCACCTCCATGCCTCTGCCCCCTAACCCTCCCGCCATCTCTCTATCCCTCTGCCTTCTGGTGTGATTCCCAGGTCACTCAGTCCCATCCGTGGCTCTCCTCTCTCAGGACAGCCAGGAGCACAAGATCGTGTTATACGAGAGTCCTGGCTTTGCGGGGAAGAAGATGGAGATCGTGGATGACGACGTGCCCAGCTTCCACGCCCATGGCTATCGGGAGAAGGTCTGCTCTGTGCGTGTGCAGAGTGGCACGTGAGTATCTGTGTGGCGGTTGCCACCGATACACCAAATGACCCACCACTTCACCAAACGCTAATAGACCAGTGTTTCCCAATCCGGTTCTTGGGGACCCAGAGTCGGTCCATGTTTTTACTCCCTCCGAGGACTGTCTGGCAGGGAGCTCGGAGGGAACTGGATTGGGAAACACTGTAATAGAGACACAATACAAATCATCATTCCAGTTCATGCTTCACATGACATTTCTCATTCTATCTCTATTCCTCTCCCTTTCCTTGCTTCCCTGATAATCATCACCCCACTTTCTCCTCCCCCATCCTACCCCTCATCTCCCTTACTCATTGTTCTGCTCTCCCCCCCCCCCAGCTGGGTAGGTTACCAGTATCCTGGCTATCGTGGCTACCAGTACCTCTTTGAGAAGGGCGAGTACAAGGAATGTAGCGAGTTTGGTGCCCAGTTGCCGCAGGTTCAGTCCGTTCGACGCATCCGGGACATGCAGCGGCACCAAAGGGGAACGTTTCACATGAGCAACTGAGTCAGCCTCCCCCCAGCGACCCCCCACCCCAATTGCGCCACAAACACATTCACCTCAAACAAATTTCCTACTCAGTGCCGTTGCGGTGGCTAAACCTGCAAAAAGAGGCTAATAAATTGTCGTGCTTCCGCATATGGCCACGTGGTGGTGCTGTTACACGCAAAGCATGAATTAACCAAATAGAGTTATCTTTCTAAAATATAATAAAGGGATATGTGGCTTATTCTTGTTTCTAGTATTGATTTTGGGTTTTGCAAAGATATGGAAATGGAAAATAATGCTAACGAAAAAATAACATTTGAAAACATAAATCTATTTTATGTCGAAGGGAAGAATCAATAATATTAAACGTACAAAAATGAATTTGACTTTTTTCCAATTAAAAGATCAGGACCACAAGTACAACGTACTATTAATATGTGAATTAGAAGAAGAATGTGGTGATACCGTAACTTCCAAAAACTTGAAAAGCGCAGGCTGAAAACTGTTTTAGATTTCACCACTATGTGGATAAACAGCGTTGCTTTGTAAAATAAATATACTGTCAAAATACCATATACCATATAATGTATGGACAACATGATGGCATGAAAAATTAAACAAGAATACCATAAAGATTTAACTTCACTGCCCTAGCACAGTTATGCTCAGCCAAAACCTACTGCAGCATTAGAGAGCAAGATGTCGCTTAATTAGTTTTAAGATATTTTATGCACGTAAACCTATGTCAGATGTCTAATGTAAATCCTTTGATCAACGATGGGCTGGGCCTGTACTCCATTGCATAATTATCACTGATATTTCGATATCTCGATATCATTGGATACTTCGAATGATAAATCTGCTATATTATAAAAATTATTGTTAGGTTAAAAAGCCCTAAAACCACAACCTCAGAACAAGAACATGGCAAAACAAAACGGAACCCGCAACTCAGAGGAATTACAAGCGACTTAAGAAAAAAAAGCCCAAAGTCGCATAAAAAGTGGACTTCACAACACCGGAACTATAGAACCCCGAATTTTGACCATTGTAAATTAGCGTCAATAAATATTTCTGTTTTGTGATCAGAGAATTTAAAGTTCACCTACCACCAGTTTTGATTCACATGTGATAATCCGTTACAAATATGCCAATGTTGATCTATAGGACTCCAAAGTCCAAATGTTAACACAGTTTTATATGACATTCACTAGTTTCTTTGCTGGCTATAGTTTTATCCATTTTGGCCAGAATTTGATATTGAATGAATGGTTAAAGGTTAATTAGGAGTTTTTGCTATACAGATATATGACATGATTTTGTATCTCTCAATTATTTCATTTGTGTCATGGTATTTATAAGTTCAGTATCCAATAAGTTGTATACATTATTGTATTATTTAGTTTATGGCAAGCCATAAGGAGTTATTTACTGTCACACAAACAAAATAAAATGATAAATTATAACTTTAGAATCATGTATCATTTATTTAATTTACTGTTGTATGCATATGTACAAGGAACACATATAATATGGCAAATACAGGACAAAGAGTATTCCATGTGATCGTGTATATTGGGCTTATTTCTGGGTTTGATTTATCCAGCTTACTTTGCACAGTGGGCTTATTTTGCCCTTGTTTTCAGAGATGGGGTTGCTTTTTTGTCTCGTGATAACCTACAATACTGTGCACTTCCTGCATTTGTCCGTCCGGCGATAAACAGGAACATTGGTCACACTGAAGCTGCATCCAGCTCACGGCTTGGCGTCGCATTGTGTCTCGGTACCACACTTCAGTTTATCTGGGGGTCTGTGGTGCCATCTGAATAATGAGGGGGTGGCGCACATCTGCTGAGAAACAGTAAATTACGGATGTAAAAATGTCGCTTTTTAGATGAGGTTGTGCTTTGCTCTCACTTTCTTTCAGCTCCGTGGTATTTGAGTTGCACGTGTAAAGTAAAGTTTTAGTCCCCCCACTACCAGTCACTTTGCCTTGACATGCCGTATAACCTATTAATGCTTCATTTCACTCGGACACCTGTGACTCGGATTGTTCCAGCATTGCTCCGGTTTCCAAACCTGATGTGCCGGAGAAACACAGCGAGGTCGACGTTTTTTTTCTGTTTTAGCCCGAGTGCCTAGAATAGTCATCCCAGCCCCCACCACTTTTTTTTTTCGCTTTAACCTCCCCACATTTCTGTCTTTCTTTGAAGATTGGGGGCTGGCTAAACTTGCACTCAGCATTCTTGGTATCACGACAACTGCCTTTGCAATGCTGTTCAGAAATGCCGACGCCGATTTCAGCTTCACATCTGAAATCCAAACAGCGCGCTGCAGCGTGAGAAGCAGTGATCGTCATTAGTTGCATCGGGAGACGCTGGAAAACGTTTATCGTGGCTTAATGTCCCAAAAGAACAAAAAGAAATCAGATTTCTCTCACACTTAACTGGCCATCTATACTACCGAAAACATGAAACTGTACCTAATTCAAAGGCAAATGATAATCTTCACCTTTTCCTGTACGTAGAAAGTCAATTCAAGGAAACATTTTAACGTGGCTCGTTGTTCCAAAAGAAGGAAAATGAAATTTATTTCAAATGAACGTCCCTATTTTTTCAAATGAAAAAAAAAAACAGTCTAAAATGTCCACATTTCTTGTCGCTGTTTGCATTGTCTTTTCATTCCAGTGTTTTTGAGTGTGCTGCACTATTTTTCCCATTAGAGTATCCTACAGTTTAATGCATTGTCCAGTAAAGTGTGAGTGAAATTTGGTCTTTGTTTTGGGACATTATGCCACGTTAAGCTTTTTTCATGTGAGGAGTTTTAGACGGACTCATGCACAAATAAGTACACAGTATTAGGACTTGGCCTTGTATCGGCCCTACATGGCCCTCGATGAAAGCAATTCGTTAGCGGCTGACAAACTGCTGTCGCTAAAATTGGTTTCCCACCCGCCGGGCTCCAAACATTGCAAACACTGTCACGTGGTCTTCAAAAAGACATTTGCGTCTTAATAGTTCCGTCTAGTAATTCATCTATAAGAAAACATCTTTTTACGACACTAAAATAGACACATTGCTAAAAATATCACAGCGATTGAGTTTTTAAAGCTTTCTATATTCGTCAATCAGTTGGGGGTTTTCCATGGGCAATGAAAGCATGGCTTCATAGTTCGGACCGTTCTGTTTCAAATCCTATTTTAAGGTGCAACCGAGGACGTGCATGGCTAATTCTAGAGTCATAGATGACCGTGTGTCTTCACATAATAAATCACTGCCGCAGAAGTGTTTTTATTAAAACCATACAGACCAAGGACAATATATTTGAACAATCTATTGCAAACCGAAGATTACTTTAAGTAGACCAGCAATGGGTGTTCTGGTGCTGTGCTACTGTTTCGTGCCCACTAGAGGTCGCCCCAGCGCTGAATTTTCCCTGCAGCGCACCGTGCGCTATCGCTAGAGTGGAAAAAAATATTCCTGTCGGACGCGAGCTGCGCGGCCCCGACAACGATCCTCTCTAAAGCGGAGAGTCAGTGAGACTCAAAAAAACTTCTGAGCACCGACAGGCAGGAGTCTGGCAATCCAGGGGACAGGGGGAAAAGCTTCGGCATCAGCGCAAAATCAGCTCACATTACGACGGTCCTGTTTACGCAGTCGAGCCGAATCCCGGCAATCATGGACGATTTAGGTGAGTATGCGACTTGCCGAGGTTCCGCGTTAGTTTGTGATTCGCAGATGGTTTTTGCTCGCCGAGCGACGCGCCTGTGGAAAACGTATCCCGCCGGCTAGTTTGGTAGCTTGCACTGAGATTTCTTTTTTATCCCTGATCTGCAAAGCGAGTGTTGGCAGGCGCGGAGGCCGCTTGGAAAGCCTAGGGTTTCCAGTGATCGGCGCGCCGTGCGGAGCGGGGAGACGCCGTACCTGTGTCCAGCTGGCCGCGGAGGGCTGTTTCTGACCGCCGGATGGGCAAATCTGGACGAACCGGGTCCGATCGCGCCGAACCCCATATTGAAATCGGGCGTTGTGTTGAATTCATTTCTAATTTAAATCAATTCGTGCGCCGTGGTCGACTTTCATTTTATGGATGTTTTAAATAAAGGCTCGTACTAAGCTTTCTCTACCTCTTAAAGTTTTAAGCAGAACTTAGGGCGGCGCTTTAAGACTGAGGACTCTAGCCCAGTGTGGCTTGAACTTTTAACTGGGAGGAATGGGAGACGCAAATGACACTTGACAGTCAGGTGTCCCAGCCGGACAGAGAACTTGTGGCCGAATAATCGAGCCCACCAAGTTTTGTGAGAGTACAAACGCGTTTTGCATAGCCGTAATCAATTTCAAGTGGTTTCCTCTTCAGTGCTTTGAATTTGATTGCCAAATAGCAAGCCAGATATAAGAAATAAAGTGAAGAAATAATTGGTAAAATAAATGTAAGGGTTTGTTTGCCTTAGCACTCGGTTCGTTGCAAAACGTGCGTGAACCTGCTGCCTGAAAATAGCTCCGGAGCCCCGACCGTCGATCTGTCGCCTTTGCTTCTTTGCATTCCAGTCTTTCTGTGCACGTTTTGCACAAGCTGCTGGTATTCGTGGCCCCGGGGCTTGTTTACTCCTGCCACTGCTTTTGTCCGGGCTGGAAATAAGTATGCGAGAAAATTGTCAGGGCGTTGGTTTACTTAACAATATATATATAATGTAAATGCTTTGCTCGTTGATGTTAAGTGCCTGTGACGCTATTGCCGGTGGCGCGCATGGTGTCGTGACCGCAGGATGGCCACTTCTGCCATTCTGCGCTGTCTTCGATAGTTTATACACGTTGTGCACCACAGTGGAGCTGCAAACACTGAGCTGTGAAATGTCATGTTTGACCGTAAACTTTTTTTTTCCCCTGCAAACCTTTTCCCAAACACAGTTGTGCATGGAGAAGTGCACATGCCCCTCTAGTTGACCGTATCTCGAACGTTTTCGGGCTGTTTGTTTCTACACTTACACACGGCAGTTATCGTTATGGTACATCGTCGATCTATGAATGGTTTGGTATATAGGTAATTGATTTGTACTTCAGCATGAAGTTATTGATCGCGGGTTTGGAAAATGTCTCTGTATGCGGGGTCACGATCACACGAAGTAAGAAGTCGGCTTTGAATTAATCGGTTTTGAGAGTAATCGGTCCGTTTTGGGTGAATAAAAATACTCTATCTATTAATCGGCCCATGTACTGGCAGCGTGCTTGCCAATGTCGAAGTTTGCACGAAATCGCGCTACGTTCATATGGGTGGGTGGGATTTCACTATTAATCACTCGTGTATCTGCACGGAAGGATGGCGTTGCGCAAGAGTATTTCTTGGGGGTGGGCGGAAGATGGGTCAGACGGTATCCAATTATAAACTGGTAACATGCTTGACTAAAGTTCTTTGGCTGCGAGTTGGTCGAGTGTATGCCCCTAATGTTGGCACTCTGTCATTTACCAGCTGGGTTAAACCACTATCTGTACGTTACTGTTTGTTTTCTTTGGTTAAATATTGACAACGGGTGGTAATCCCTCGTTTCTGCAATTAATCAAAGTGATATGTTGCATGCGTGAAATACATTTAGTCACAGCGTTAGGAAATGCACCTTAATGCCATTTGAGACTAGGTGAATGTAGTAACCAGTGTTGGGGCTGTTACTCAAAAAAGTAATTGGTTATAAGATACCAATCACTTCTCTAAATTGTAATGGGATTTAGGGCTGCCACTGTCGATTACATCAATAGTCGAGTAATCGTTTATATTATATCAACATTGCAACTGACGGGAACCAACCAACTATTGCAGAGTGCGCAGTCAGTCACACGTTGGGTCAGTTTAGGCGCTCCAATTCACTTAAGTTGCATGTTTTTGTACAGTGGAAAGAAATCTGATGATCTACCGAAAAGACACACACACACACACACATTGAACATGAAAACTCTATACGCACAAAAGGGAGGTGTGCAGTGACAGTGTTAAAAGGACATCATCCATATGCTGTATTAAATTGATTAAATTTGTAAAGGGTATATCCACCTTAAAAGTGCACACAAGATGCCCGTAGTACCTCATGTAAAAAGGGTCGGGAGGGGGGCATCAGTTTGGATGCGATTTGTTACAGGCCTATGGATTTTGAGAAGGCACCTTGCTGAAGAATAATAAAAAAAAGTGACCATGCAAATCTGTAAAATGTATTTCTGCCGTGATCCAACTTATCACAATTACTCTCCACTGCAAAAAAAAATAAAAAATTGCAAACGAAAATTATGAGAAGTGCCCATAAAGCTTACAGAAGTTTCTTCTACCTTCTATTCTGTTCTGTCTGCTCAGTAAACACATAAAAAAAATCTTCCTGTGCAGCACGTTATGCTTGATTATTTAGCTGCTTAAAACGCAGCGTAATTTATGTTGCACGGGATACCGGTACTGTAAAGGTACCATGGTCCCACATTTTTCAAACCTGTTTGGTATTGCGTTTCTTTAGTACAGTGCTATTTACACTATTACAGACATCGCTAATGCTATTAAATACAGTGTAGAATTCTGCCTGGTCACAAGAGGGCAAACAAATAGGCTACATTAATGTCATCAACTAGTATCTATGCCTACAGGTTATGCTTCACTGTATTTTAGGCAGTTAAATAATGAAGCATAATGTGGTGTGTGGAAAGTTTATTTTTATTAATTCTTATTGAGCGGATAAACTGCTGTAACCTTTCTGGGCACTTATCTCATATCTGTTTGCTTTTTTGAGGTGGAGAGTAGAGAGTAATGGCGATGATTTTGATTGCAGCAGAAATACGTCTTACAATTCTGCGTGCTCGTGTTTTTCTATTTATTTTTAATTTTTTCACTATTCGTCAGTGCAGCACCCTCTCAAAACCCATGTAACAAATCGAATCCATACCCATCGATCTCTTTCCACATAGCCCACAAAAACTATCCGGTAAATTACGCTTGGCTCTTATGCATTTCCTTTTTGTTTAATGTTTTAATCTTGTGATTATGATCTTGTGATTTCTGTGCATAGTCCTTAATGTCCCTTAACCATTAAATGAGTTTCTGCTTTCAAGTGTGTTTTAGTTTCAGTGATATGATTCAGTGATATGATTCAGTGAAATAAGTGTGTAATTTACCATGAAAAATGCAGCTTTTTTTCTGCATTGGTATTATTGCAGTACCAGTATCGTGATACTTAAAGTGGTATTGGTTTGGAGGTCATAATTTTGGTATCGTGACACTAACATGTATGTACATATGCTAGTTTGACGTTAACATGATCTGTCTGTTTGCCATATTATAAGATCTTGCTTGTCTTTTTATGCAATAAACTGAAAACAATGAGGATATATGCGCTTATTCAATCACCCCGTCTCTTCTTCCATGTTGAAAATTTCCTTTCTGATCAAGAAACATCTGTGACTAAAATCGATCAGAATGCATGCGTTTCTCATAGTCCAGTAACTCGGGCCGTCATTGTATCACTCTATTGACCAATATACACCCATGACCGGAAGTGTGCGATTTTATAAGTTAAATATTAAGCACAATAACATTCTTTTGAAAAGGCGTGTGTAACAAAGGAAAGGGCATTTTAATAATCCAGTAACTAATGTGATTACTGTAATTTGAACAATTTTCTTTGCTTCATTATGGAGGACAGTAATATAATTAATGTGTTAGTGTAACTTGTTTCGCCCCCAACAACGTCACTAGCTTTTTTCAGGGTCCTTTAGCTTTTCTGGATGCGAGTCCATTACTCCTGTATATCTGACTTGAGTGAGATTCTGCATACTTCCATCATGTCCACTGGTTGACCTGCCAGAGCTGAAATCCAAGAACGGGAATCGCACTCGCCGAACCCGCAGCCGTCTTGGGCTCAGCGCTCTTAGTGTTTCCCCTGAAGGCTGCATTCTGATGCTGTGTGCCCAGGCCCAGTGTAAAGTCCATTGATAGTGTGGGTTGTCCAGTGGGTCAGTTGGCCTGTAGCTATTAAGGTGTTTGTGGGAATGTATGTCACGTCATTCTGGCTCCCATAGAGGAGCCGTATTGCAGCCCATGTCTATTGCGCAACCTGAGTCGCTAAGATTAACATGCTGGATTTGTTATCAGTTTCCTGCGATGAACCGATTGCGCGCCATGCTAGAGGATGGTGAGTCTCATCAGTCCGAAGTGATCTGATGTGAAACGATTGTCCTTTGGTTCTTGCTGCCAGGCTTCCCGCTGGATTCCTTTAAGAAGAGGTCGGTCTTCTCAACTAACCAGATGTTTAGGACGAAGACGTGTAAAGACCTGTTCTTAAACCCCCCCCCCCCCTTTGCAGATACCAGGAATGTTGGCTCTCTTGCATTGTTTTCACCTTCCCTCACTGTATTGGTTTTCGTTCTTTATTCTAATGGCGTCGACAGCTGCAGAGTTTGAAATGAATCCCTGGAAACGCAGCAGAAATCCGCCGGCAGGTTCCCTCCCGCTTGGTCACAGAAAGGTGCAGATGGAGGTGCTGCCGGGGATGTTAAATTGTGGTCGTGCATCTCCACAAATCCCCCGTGCCCTCTGGGTGTGTGGTGTGTGTGTGTGTGGCGTGTGGGTCCTCTGCTGTCCTCAGCAGTCCAAAGAATTACTAAATATTTGGCATCTCTGAATTGGTTAACACTTCACTTGAGGGGGCGCAATTAACCAAGTAAATC